CGTAAGCACTGCTCAGCAATAACTGAAATATGGGTGTGCTGTCTACGCTGTTTTGGTCACAAATCAAAAAAATAGCACCATATGAGCTACTTTGAAGAAAATTAACTCTATCCCAACCAAACCCAAGCAAACAGTAAGACAGGTAGTAGGATGAGGAAAGAGAAGGTAGTAGGGTAGTAACTCAATAGAGCTTTGCATCATGCGTGAAGTTGTTACTTTAAATTCTTTCTTTCTTTCCTATGTATGATGAAGGGCTTCCTGCTAAATCTCACTTAGGTTTCCCAGGAGAGAAATATTCAGGAGAGGGCTTGGGTGGAAAGAAATTGGTAGTTTGCAGAGCAGCTTAAAAAGAATGCTGCCCAAAAGAAAAGCCAGAAGGAAAACAAAGGATAAGGAAGATTATAAAAGAAGAAGGAGCTAAACAGGTTATTTTATAATCTAGGGATAGAAGTGTGACAGAGTTGTGAAATTATTTATTAGGTTAATTGATATGTATAGGAAAATGGACAAGCCTTTGCAAAACCAGATCTTTTTCAGATCAAGACAAAGGCAGCAAGCTTTAAACTGCTTCTAAAATTCTAAAAATTCTAAAATTTTTTCTGACAGTTGCTGGTTAGTCTAATTTTACTTTTCTGACAAGCATTTATCTAAAGCTGGCATGAGTGATGAGGAAGTAGTAACAGAGAAAGACACAAGAAGGAAGCAAATGGATTTGAATATGAGAAAAGAGAAAACTGGCTCATTTTTAGTAAGTGCTACGTAGTATTAAAAGTGTTTGCAAACATATGAAATTACTTATACCATGTTTGTGCGCTTTCTGACACAAAGCAGGTAATAGGGCTGCTGGTGGGGTGAATATTCAAGGTGCATAGTGGTAACAGATGAGTTCCCTAGCCTCCCCTTTCCCCCAGCCCCCTCCTAGCAGTACTACCTATTAAGTAAATGACAGGCAAAAAGGAGAGGAGGGTTGGATTCCTTCAGTGTGTATGTTGATTTCAGTGCTAAGAGTCTGAGATTCCCGAGGGATAGTTCCTTTTAAGAAAAGTTCTGTCCACCAAAAGGATGAACAGTATTCCAAAGTCACTAAGTTTACTTGGTAGCCACTTTTTAAAGTTTTTAGATATTATTTAGATTTCTAAGAACTGAAATATAAAAGCATATAAGCAATGCAAAGTCTCTGGATCAAAAACAAGAGTGAAAATAACAGGTTGTTTCGTACTTCAGAGGTGTATTTAGCAATTCAGCTGTTACGTGTTCCTCTCTGAGTTTGACAGTAACGGCGTATAACGTCCACTCACTGATGTATGCTGTGGCAGTCATACCTATTCTTAGGAGGACACACTTGTAGAATTTCAAATGCCTCTCCTTGTCGTTCCCACTGGCCTTCCTCATCATTTTTTAGCAATGAAATTCCAAATAGCAGTTCAAATATGTTGGGAAGGTCACACCGTTGGAAAGGGCTAGATCGCTAATGGAGATGAGAAGGGTCATAAGCGAGTTTTCAAAGTGAAGGCACACACTTCCTCCCAGGCTGATCCTGTGGATTGTATCTCCGTTAGCTGGAGATGGCACCATTAGCACGGAGCCTGGATTCATTAGAAGAGCTAAGGAAACTGCAGCTTCCGATGAGCCCTGCAATGCACAGCATGTGTGTGTGTGTCTGCTTCTTGTGGTTCAGTCATGCAATTGCCCTTCCTTCCCCTTTCTTTCCAGTTCAGATGGGGACTGCACGCAGCCCCGTGACGCTGAGAGCCCTGCAAGGGCTGAGGATGTGCTACGGTGGCTTCAGGCTTGCAGACCCACCCCACGGTGGATGGCAAAAGCAGAGCTGTGTCTGGACAGCAGTGGGGAGGCTGAATGCGGGCTGTTTCAAGTTAGGGAGAACAGTAAACGAAAGAGAGACAGTCCATCGCCAGTAGACATGCTGCCAGTGGCTTTCCACTTATTTAGTCTTTTTATTACATTTAAACATTGTGCCGAAGGTTTGGGAGTTTTGGCGACTAATGACCAAAGACCTGTTTAGCACACAGAATTTCAGCACAGGGCCAGTGCAAATATATTATAATATGAGTTTACGTTGTCCCCAAGCTAATTATTACACCATATGTTTCCTTTGCCTTAACAAAATTGTTCTCTTTTCTCTTCCCTAGAGTTTCTGTGTTTCAGTATAAAAAAAATCTATCCCCTCCTTCAGAGTTTTTGTAGAGATCTTATTCTTCTTTGTAAAGATTTAGCGGCTGAGAGTTTTGGGGAGGCAGTTCAAGTGGAGCATTGGTTTATAGGTGGTCTGATGGACAGCTAGGGTTCACAGCTTCCTATTTAGGCAGATCCTCTAATCCGCTGGGTCACAGCACACACGGGGAGCTGCAGACCCCCTGTTTAGCTGGAGAGACAACTGTAACTCCAGTTTTTCTGCATGAGGGGCCATTTAGCTTCCTTGCTTGGAATCAGGCAAGAGTCTGTTTTTGACAAAATCCATTAATTTAATGGATTCATAGGAAAGAAATAGAAAACTTTGGGATGGGAGTAGAAACTGAAAAAGGGAGTTTTTTGGCAAGGAGAAAATGGGATTTGAGGACAGTTTGGGAAAAAGTTTGAGAGAGAGGTGGTGGAGAAAGTCATGGGAAGGAGGACAGGCACACAGAAAGCATATGAAGAAATTTCTGAAGAAAAAACAGAAAGATGACTCACAAATGTAGGATGGGAGAGTAAGAATCAAGATGCTACTGGGAGACTCTGCTGCACAGGGTGAAGTTTGCTGGAGGACTGCCAGATGAGAAAATCAGGAAGGGCTGTGATTTTGCTGCAGAGCCATTTGACTGGATAAACAATATGGATCCTATCAAGCCACTGGGGAGGATTATGGGGGAAATTTTCTCTTCAGACCGCTCTGTAATGTCTTCGCCAGGTGGACGTGGACACAGGAAAATGGTTTCATTTTCCACCATAAATGAAATCTTAATACCAAACCCACATTTATGCTATTTTGTGAACACAGTATTTGCTCCAGGATAAAATCAATTTTATTCATGCTAGAGAACTTGCATGAGTTATGCTAGCGTATTTGCCAAAGTATACAGGTCCAAATGAGACCTATAAAACTTCTTTGTTTTGGAGTGAATACATAAAAGTTGTTTATTAGTGCATTGTTTTAGTATAAACTTACAGTTATTGCCTTAAATGGTATTGCATGTGCCTTTCTGGTTATGGAATTGTTTGGGTGGAGGGACTAGCAGAGAGAGGAATGTGAATCAAGGAAGGGATCTAGGGGTTATTGCTGATGCTTATGGAGGAAAATGGGATCAGAAATTCGTTAACTTGTGAAATTTCTAAGCTAGTGTGCAGGAGTGGGCTCAGGAGGGAGATTAGATAGATGAATAGATAGATAGATGGATAGATAGATAGATAGATAGATAGAAAGAAAGAAGTCCAATAATTTATTTTCCTGCTACTTCTCTGAACTCTTTTTCTAACCATGAAAAGGTACTTCGTCCAAGCTGAATAAACCATAGTCTTACTTACATGGCAGTTTTGCCAAGATGACTGTGCAGCATACGCATGATCTACCGTTACGTGGTGATTGAGGAATAATCACAACTGTCATAATTAAACTTAATTTATCACGGTCTCTATGCAGTGTAAAACAACAGCCCCCCCCCCAACAGATACCCACACAAAACTTCCAATTTAGGTAACCTCTGTTCTCTTCCCTCTGTTTTCTTAATGAACAGAATCTTACAAAAGTTAAACAATCAGGAAGTTAGAGATGTAGCTGTCTAAAGTGCACTTCTAATCTGAAAAATCATATGCCCCTAATGAAGAAGTAATAGCCTGCAAAATGTTGATCCATAAGAGGTTGTGAAGACCATCATACTTGAATCCCTGTTTTGAAGTTTGGGTTTTGTTTAAATATGTTCTCTTTTCTGTCCCTTTTATTATGAGGATAGCCTTGAAAAGTAGATTTTTAAATGTTTTTGAGCTTGAGGTGGTCTGAGTAGGTGTGACTGGGATGTTTTCAGATCTATTTATGTAGTAGTACACTTCTTAAGCTCCACCACACACAGCACTCGTACCACTTGGCACAATCAGCAAAAAGGCCGTGTTACTTCCTTGTGTAGCGCTTATGTAGTGACAGTATAAATGTCCCGGTATAAAGGAGATTAAGGGTTGTGACCTAAACTGTCCCGGCCGTGATGATGGACTAATGCAGCTTAGTGACTGGCTGTGCTTGGGGAAAGGAAGAGGGACAAGCACACTGTTTTTTGAAGAGATTGACGGACTTCAGGCACAAAAAAAGTATTCTATTAATTTGCACTCTACTGTGACTCACTGGTATAATTACAAACACACTGTGTTTATTTGTATCCCTAAAATGAATGAGCTTAACTTACTCCTCCTTTAGGAATATTGAGATCCATCTTTTGTTTCAGTGGGTCACAGAGGCTAGCATTTTCATGCTTAACATCATTGTTTATTTAGAAATGTCATAATTCCCTACCACATAGCAATTCCTAAATGCAACCAGTCATAAATCAATACAGAGCGGCTTGTTCATCTTGGGAGAGAGGCATCAATTCAGCAGGTTAGGAATTTTGCAAAATAAGGGGTTTGGAAAATGGTGACTAGTTGCAACCACAGCTGTTAATGAGTGAATAAAAGTTAGTAAGAATTTTTGCTGAGGTTGTTCACTGCATGCAATTTTTGCTTAAAACCAAAGGAGCTCCCAAAGCAGCACCTGTGCATGGACTGCTGGTGCTCTGCAGTCAAATGGTAGTTCCGGTAACAAAACGTTATTCCCTATTCTGAGCTTCTCATTCTCTCTTTCTTTGCAGGAAATCTTGAAGGATCTTGGTTTTCTCCCTGAATGGAACAAGAACAATTTTCAAAGTTTGAAAAGTTTCCAGACACTCCTCCTAACCACTTCTGAACTGTAATTGTCTTAAGATACCATCGTTTTTAATTTTACCAGTAAAACTTACAAAATACCCGCCAAGTCGTATTCAATAAAGATGATGTACCATGTTTATTTTTATCATACATTTTCCTAGTGAAACACAAGCATGGGAATTAAGGTAAAATACTGCATCATGAAGACCAGGATCATGGGGAGGTTAGCGGGGTTTAGCAAGACAGAACGTTTCAAATGTAGCCAATCTGAATGACCAGTCTGACTTAGACTCATGTAAGAAAGTCATGTATGATAAACAGATTTTCACTATCAGGTCCTAGCGATATGAAGGTTTACATCAGCATTCAGTGCAGGTTTTTTTCCTGCTTTGTATGTTACCATTTAGAAAATAAAAGTGAATTTTTTCAAGTTTTCACTTTTCAGAATTGTTTCCAGTTTTTGTGATTGAGACTCATTATGTTGGATGCCAGTACATTCCCTATTTTATAAATATGTGATTTTGAAATGCAATACATCACAGTGCTTGCTTTAGTGTAATATGACTAGTTCACCATAAAAACAGTTTGTTCCCCCAAGATCCAAACAAAATATGTTCTGTATTTACTTCATGGGTTCAACCACAAGAAATTTGACCTTCACTTAATTTGCGTGTTTTTTCTTTGTTTGAAAACATACAATATCCAACACATTCATCTATCTTGTATTAAAACCACTATAAAAGAGTATTGTTTCAGTATGTAACATCTCAAACTAATACAAGTGGAACATTTTTATTTTCTGTATAATGCAATAGCAAAAATCTAATATTTTAAAAAGATAGAGAAGATTCTTAATTTCAGGTGGCAGTTAATGTTATACAGGGAGAAAGGTGCCTGTGTTTATGGTTACCATTAATTTTTTATGTAAAACATTATATCTTTATATCATTCTTCATATCCCTCCAACTTAATTTGGATTATGAAGATTGTAGGGAGAGGTTACAAGCCAGACTTTTATTGATTTTGCCAGTTTATACCATCTGCAGATTTTTCTTCCTTAGTCTTTGGTACCAGGAAATGGTGGGATCAGGAAATCCAGAGCACTGACCGTAGAGAATGTAGGCTTCAAAAAAATCATGCTGGTTCCAACAAAATACAGAGCTGAACTTCCCAGCAGTGCCAACCATTCGGGACTCCATGCAGAATCAATGGGAGCCATCAGCCTGATAGCTGCACATTGGGAAGGAAACCAATAAATCTGCAATTTATGTTTCTGGGACTGAGCAGCACTGATCAAACCAGCTTCCTTGGCATCCTTGCACCTCAGTGCATAGGACTGTGACAGGAACAATGGGAACCGAAAGCTAGGTCTCCCTGTGAAGCTACAGTAACTTCATTTAACTATTTATTTAATTGGACTAAGGGGTTATGCAAGTTTCATAAAGGGTCTTGAAAGTGGGGGGGAGCTGAACCCCGTGATCAAATTTGCCAGTGTTGCCCCATGCATTTTTGTACTCTTTTGTATTCTTTTGGGACCTCTGTAATTCTGGAAGCCTCTTAGATGTTACAGTTTGCACAAAGTCCTCTAAAGAGTGAAAAGATTAGCAAAGACTGGAAAAGAACGATCTAAACAAATCTGTCTGTCTCTCCAGGGTAACCTCAATGACAAGCTCAGCATCATTTTGAAACCACAGGCCATATCAAACCACAAATCATAACATTCCTAAGTGGTTCAAAATATGGCTGTGTATGCAAAGACAAGAAGGTCCATAAGGCCATGTTTAGAAGGCGTTTGAACACCTAACTGCTATTGCCATAAGCCTAGGTTCATAAAGCAGCTTTGAGCCTCTGCTTTTGGTGTTCTTTTTTTCTAGGTAGCAGTTTCTGTTTCCAAACAGTAAAGTCCTCAGAGAAGCAGTCTAAACTAAATTTCTCTCTTACACAGAAAAAATCCCTGCCTGTAATCTGCCTAGCTGTAGATGAATGCACTAACAAGAGGCTCTGCCTTAATATAAGGAATTGCAGGTCTCCATCTACCTACTTATGTGAATTGGCTTCCAGAGTTCAGAGAAACCAAAATGTCCAACAAGGTTTAAAACAACAAAAAAGGGTTGGAGTGCCTTCCTGCTGCCTGGATTTCACAGCCCAGCTTCTTCTCCAGTGCATTTGGAGAGCTAGGCTTCTGAGAGTTTATCCACCAAAGCAGGGTAATGCATAGGAAGATAATCACTAGAGGTGCTGAGGAAAGAAACGAGGGTTAAGTGTTAAAAAAAGCCCAACAATTGGTGTCTGGGTGGAGTGTCTTCCTGAGCATACCATGTGGTCAAGTATACCCTTGTTAACCACTTAAGGACAAGATGCCAACATCCGTGACACCAAAACAGGTGATTCTGGAAGGTGCTGCATACCCTGAAGCTCCCACTGATCTGGTGCTTTTCAGGGTTCACTAAGCACCGGAGCATCCTGACTTGGGATTTGGTCCATTGCCAAGCTGATCGGCAGTTGTGAAGGCAAACAAAACATAGGTTGGTTGGAGTGTCAAATGAGTACATTGGATTTTGAGAATGGTAAAGGTGTACTAATATTTCTAGTCTCAAATTAATCTGAATAAATCTAAAAATTTATTCCAGCTGCAAGGGGAATGCAGACAGCTGCATGATATTCTCAGATTTCTTGTTAAATAGAGGTAAATGAATGACTGCAAAAGGCAGAAACTATCTGTCTGGGGTTTTTTAAGGGTGGGGATGCAGTTACATGTTGCAACAGGGACATTTTTCCAGTTGAAGCCTTCTTTATTTGGAATTTGTAAGTGTATTTGTCTCCTCCTTTTCACACAGCTGGACATGTGTGTTGTCTCCTGGAACTGGAATGATCACCCATTCTTATCCGGACAGCTTTAGCAGAGCATTACTTTTGAGTGGCAGTATCCCATGACACCTTCACCTAATGCATAAAAACTAGAAAAAGAGAACTTCTATTAGAATGCAGTTCCTAAATATTTGCCCAGTTCAGAAGATGCTATTAGAATAGTTATATTCCATATGCTTGCTGAAACATGATAAGCAAACCAGAAGGGAGGACAAGTTATTCCACGAGCAGCAGAACTAATGAAACCTGATTTCCTCCAAATCTGTATGCTCTGTCACCCAACACCTCTCCCTGCAATAAGCCAGTTTCCCTTCCAGTATCCCATCAGATCTGCATCTCAGTAACTTGAGATCTTCCTGTGCTGGCAGTGTTTCCAGTTCAGCACTTGCCTCTATGTTCTTGTCTTTTTTTTCCCCCCTGTGTTTCTGAGGTGGGGGGAGAAACACAAGCTAGAGTTAGAAATGAGCTAATGAGCTAGGCAGTGCCATGTGCCAAGGGGTTGGCCAATCCACGTGGGATGAATGGCCCGCCACCCCTTGCCAAAGGGAACGGGCCATAGCGGTTCCCCCAGCTTTATCCTCAGTAAGAATACCAGACTTCGTTTTCTCTCTCTGTAGATATGTAACATCTGGGTAATTAAATATCTTTGAGACGTCTAGTTTTGCTACACAGGCTGAAATGGATTAACAGGTTCAAAAGTGAGAAGAAGGAGAGACTGAAAAAGCTTTCTTCCTTGGACAGGTATGCTGATAATACTAGTAAGAATATCTGCCATTGAGCATTGATAGGCATAGCATAAGCTAATTGAGACATTCGGATGGCATGTAATGATCGTAGTATAGAAACCCAGATAAATAAAAAAATGAGTAACCTACTAGAGTTGGGTAATTCAATGGGTATGAAGTTTAGCATAAAAGCCAACAGGCTGCCCTCTTGTGCCATTGAGATGGAGGGTTCATTTGTAAATTTGTAAATGGACTCAGTGTCTGCTCTTAGTTCCTTAGTCTTAATCACATGATGCATAAAGAACAAAATTCAAGCTCTACAGACCCTTTTCTTGAAGTTTTTGCCCTCTTTAATAGAGTAACCAAAACTATCTCTGACTTCCCAGATGAGTTATTATTTAGGACTGGATAAATGTATTTAGGGTTTTGAAAGTTTTATTTGTTTTCCATCACCCAGCCATGCCAACTGTATTCTAATAAATAAACATTGATATATGCAGTAATTTAAAAAAAAATCTAATAGATTGTGTTTATGGGAGTTGTGATGTTATAACCACATTGCATATGTTATTATCATGAGATCTTCATGTACAGAGGAAAAAGAGGAGAGTGCTTTAACCCTTAACCTGAATACTAATCCTGATTCTTGTATGAATTTATTTCCTCCCATTCTCTGTAATTTTTGCTGTCACTATGGATCTTCATATAAGAAAATAGTTTATTTGAAGTCCTTTCTACCATTTCTTGCTAGGATTTAAAATTTGACTCCTATGTTTTATATAATCCACATCACTGTAAGTGATGTAACTTGATTACTCTCAAGAGATCTTCTCATGTTAATCACATTGGGAGAGCTTTCTTCATGTGGCTAGGGCAATTATATTCAAGTCTCAAGAAACAAGACTGTAGGCTTAAAAAAGTGGCTATTTTAACTGGATCCAAAAGTATAAGCTATTCAGTACAAGTAAATACCATGTAATGGAAACATAAAAATAACTAACTTGAAAAATTCAAAATTATATATGCATTTCTTACAGCTCACAAAATAACTTTTAATAATTGCTGTTACAGCAGTTACAGATAAAATGTATTTGTGATTCAGTCACTTGTTTATGACAAAGTTACTTTGCCATCAAAGGAGTTCAAAATTATGAAGAAATATCTATTCAATCAAAATTATGAAGAAATATCTATCTATCTATCTATCTATCTATCTATCTATCTATCTATTGTAGACAGAATTGAGTATCTATTTCAACTAAGATAGTAAATTCATTCTCTGAATAAGACTAGAGCAAAATCTACTACTGTGTGCAGGTGAAAAATTCTGATTGCTTTTTCTAATGCTCAAACCCCCTATTTTCTGCCCTTCTCTTTCCTTTTGTACCAAATATTTTCTGTTTGGCAAATGGATGGTCCATCCATGTCCATTGTGCCATTTTAGTAGCCTCTAGTAGTTGTTTCCTCTACTCATTGTTACCTTGACTTACCTGCCTGGAGAGGGGCAGCCGCTTGCTCTGTCTGCGTCGTAAGATGCTCTTCAGAACCGGATAGATTTTACCATAACACATGACATTTTTCCTTTATAAGGTCTCCTCCTAGGTTTTGACATTTGTGCATGACAGATTGCCAGATTGCTCATCAGTCTCCTGCCTCTCTTCTCCAGTCTTGGGAGGATTCAGCTTTAGCAATCCATTAAAAAGTGCAAGGGTAAGGCAGATAAGCCAGAAGAAAAAGTGGAAATGAAAAGGGGCTCCTGACAGGAGATGCAGAGACAGGTGCAGTATAGAAAGTGTGAAAGAGTAATTCAAGGCAACGACCTTGTGCTGCTCCTCAGGTTTTTTATAGGACCTGGAGCACGCCGATATGCCCTCAAACAGTATCTCTGCTTTTCCATGACCCCAGAGCACAGAAAAGAGTTGCTGGCCAGTGAAATACAGTGTGCCCTATAACTGTATAGCTTAGCTATGTTTTGAGGGGCTTGGCTTTATTGGTTACTGAAAAACAATAACAGAACGTAAATCTCGGACTAAGCATTCTCCCCAAGACTCTATTCCCGTGATTTCCTGTCTGCAAAACCTCCTGCTGCCTCCAACCACAGTCTTACTCTCACCTATCAAACCCAGATGAATTACCTGTAAGATCACTGAGCCCAAAGGGACCTCTTGTCTTTCCTGGCATTACAACTGAATGAATCTGATTATTACATCAGCCATTTTACCAGAGCAATTTTTAGGTGTTTTTCTGAATCTTCACATCTGCCCTGTGGCGTCCATTTTAAGCAACACCGAGTTAATATGTAGAGAGCCAAATGGTGGGCCTTCTTCTGATGCTCTTATGGCAGTATATGCTGTATAATCTTTCTAAGAAGTTTGGGAGTGCAGCTGGTTTATTTAAATATATCGAAGACTAGGGTAAATCTCTCTCTGTTAAACAGCCTAAGATGATAAATGCTAAAGTGGTAAAACGCTAAAGTGAATAGGCCTTGGACCAAGTGTCTCCACTGACTGCTGTGTTTTTTCTTACCATGTGCTGGCAAAGCGTCTGTGGCTGTTTCACTATATCCTGTCTCTTGATCAAAAGCAAAAGTTTGCTATGGCCTATACATTGTGCAGAAGTCCTCCCAGCCATTCCATAAATCCTTTACATTTTTTCACAGGCAGATGGTTTACATTTTCCATTCTCTGTTATATCTGCATTGGGATAAAGTCTTTTATCTTACAGTGACTTCAATTGAAAAATAAACACCCATCCATTACACCATGTTTCTTCAGTTGAGAAAGAGTCTGCAAAATGCTCTTTAAGCTTATTACCTTTGCCTTAGAAATCTTAGGACTATATAAACCTCTGACATGAAGTATTCATTGTAGGCTTTATAACAGCATACAATAAGTTAAGAGTCAATGATAATTTATGTGGGATTCCTACAGTGCTTCCCAGCCAAAGACCTCAAAGGTGGAGGATAGTATTTTTTCTTTACTTTTCTGGGCTCAGAAGAAATAGCAATATTGATGCGGCTGAGAAAAAGGTGATTTGGTTCCTTTCCCATCTGCTCCTCTGGGAATGCTTCCTTTGTTTTAACGTTGTTATAACTGACAAGTGTATTTTTCAGCCAATGCTGCCTAGAAGAAGTGGGTGTTACCCCTATGCAAGTCATTCATTTGTTAAATCAACAGAGTCTGAACACAAAGTTTAGGAGGCAAAGTCATATCACTTGCACTAATTTGGCTTTATCCTAATATCCTTGATAAGAATCCAGTTTTGTTATGCTAACCCGGGGTTCGCTCTGGCTTGTCAGCCCTCAGATGTCTCGATTTTAAGTGGGAAGAGTACCATGCCATATGGTCACTCAGAGAGTGATGCTGTACAGGCATTGACAATATTTACATGGACTTCAGAGAAGCAAATAATTCGTTAAATATGAGTGGAAAGGGCACAATCAACACTTCATCATTGCTTCCCTTCTTCCTCTCTCTGTATTTCCTCTTTAAGGGGATGGGGGGGTTTCATATTCTTTCCCATTGCTCTCACAGACTGTAACATCGGCTCAGCACGGGAGGGGGTGAACAGCTGCACGGGGGCAGGAATAAATAGTCAAGACTGAAGGAGGGTGGGAAACTTTACAACCGGTGTTGTCACTAGAGATGTGTAAGACGAAATTGCACCCTCCTTGATACTGCAGAGCTGAAGATTTGCTAACGTACCAAAAGTCACGCGGTGACATTCTTGCCTGTATATATCACATCCCCAGAAAGCACAGAGCTGGCTGCAGCAATAAATCCAACTGGTGAAAAATTCCAGCGTTTCTACATATTTTTCATTTCACTCTAGTTGAAGTGTTTTAGCTGAACTTTAAATGTTTCATTTCAAATTTAGAGCTTTGTAGCTATGTTTTTATTCCTTATTTTTATAGTATATATTTTTAAGTTAACATTTTATTATATATCTGTTCATAATTACTTTTGTTATTAGAATTACGGTAGGTATTTTGGTAATAAGCATATTAAATTTTATTCAGTAAATTAATTACGGAGGTTAGGAAATTATATTCGGGTATTTCATTGTTCACTGTTTCATAACTGATATTAAAAAAGGTAATAGGAGGAAAATGACTGCATAAAATTAAAATGTGAACAATTTAAAACACATTTCAAAATGAAAATAATTTTGAAATTATACTGTCCAATACTTTTGAAATGTTTTACTTCATATTAACTCAAAGTGTCATTTTAATATTTTACACCAGAATGAATGTTTCCTGTTTGCTGCTGAGGATACACACATATTCTACCACTGCTATGTAGCAAGATTTGCCTCAGCAGGTGTGCTAACTAGCAGCCGTACCTAGGAACTTCTGTCTACAGTTGCAAGAGTAAAGCTAAGGTTTCAACCTTGAGCATGCCATCTCAGTTTTGAGAGGCTCTTGAAGAGTAAGCAAAGAAACAATAGAATAAAAATAAATAAATAAAAAATAGACGAAAATGCTGCAATACCAGCATGCCAGATGCAAGCCCCTAGAATTATTCTGCTACTTACAGCCTGTATCGCTGAGCTTTTTGTACTTACCTATTTTGCTGGAACCTAGCAAGCTCTCCACTTGCACAGCTTTTCTTTTGTTTCACCAGATGGTCCCAGTGGATTGCATGGTCAAGATCTGATTTCTGAGGCTATTGGAGGGGGTGGTCCTTTCTGCATGATAGGATGCTTAGTTAGCTCTATTTGTGCATTTTCTGATGCTGCAGTCATTTTGTTGTGGTAATCAATTACACACAAAAGAGAAAAAGGTAAGGTACTTTTGGAAGCAACCACAATCTAGGTTAACTAGAAAGGAGTGTGTTTGCATGAAGTTTTTAGCATAAAAGATGTGACATTAAACCTTTACTAATTTCTCTTTTGTTTTTGAGGCAACAATCTTTCTACACATATTAAAAACATGTAATGTAAATAAGTGAGCAGATGTTCAGAATTTCCCCTCTCTTTTTTTTTTTACCCCTCCTGTTGGAAATCTATTGTTCCAGTTCTCTGATTGTTTGGACCATTCCTGGAATTCTTGGTTTTAACTTAAAAATTCCAGACACGCTGTCTTGCTGCTTGTCTGCCTCTTTCTTTTGCAATTGCAAACAAAAGCACTTTGCTGACAGAGAATCTTTAAATGCCTGTAACCAGCTGTGTATGTTCACATTCAATGTTTTTCTTTTAAATAATCAAGTGTGTGCAAAAGATGTGGTGTTTTGTAAAGGTATCCTGAGATCTATTTCAGGATCAGCCATCAGAAAAGTAAAAATGGATATATACTTACAGCATTGCAATGCTAAACTTTTTAAAAGATGTTCTCAGAAATCTATGTTGTCTCATTTGGCAATTTCTGTGACATTCCTTGATTAGAGATGCATGGACACCTTCCTTTTACCCGTAAAATTCATACTTTGCAGTGCCTTCATCCGATACTTCTTTCCAATTCCAAATTTGCCACTCAGTTCCCACCACAGTACCTCTTTCCCCTTCTGCTAATTCCAGGAAAGTTTCTTTGTTTAGCACAACAGTCATGGCAACGGCAAGTGGTGTGGCAAACCACTGTATCAACCACACCAGGTACCCTCAGATTTCTGCATGTGAGGCGTTTGCGTGTGATTAGATAACATTTCTGTGGCAGGTTTGATGGTAGATGAGGCAATAGGCTCGTTTTGGTTCCTGAGTCCTGCTGGTTGCTTCGGACTGCTGGTGAGTATCATTATTTCACAACTGCTAGATAGATACTTGGATGATAAAGATTTTGAGTTGCTTTTCAGTACTGGATATACAAGCAACACTTTAATGAGAGTTCAGGCAAGGAAAACTGGTGGCTGTGCAAGTGGAAGATGTCTCCCAGATGAATTTTTAGCTTGGCCCTATCTTCCCTATGCTGTGGTACTAACTGGTCCATTGAGCTGTGAGGTGCTGGGGTAGTGGGGAACTATCTGATACAACCCTCTCTGATGGTAGTAAGGGACACAGCATGGCAACAGAGATGGCAATAACAATAAACACAGTTATTGGGCAACAGTCAGCTCGGTTGCAGTTTCAGAAGGACAGTCATAATGTTAAGATGAAGTCACCGTTCCCCATAGTGGATTCCTTAGTTCTTGCCTATTATGATCACACCACTTTGTTTAGGGATGACACAATGAATTTGGGGAGAGTACTGAGATAATTCTTGGGATGCACCCCAAGTTTCATTATTTCTGCTACATACAACCCACAACAAGGAACCATTAAGATATTTGAAGCAATCCCAGATTGTCATTTTATGATACAATAAAATATGTTTATGCAACTGAAGTGTCTATTACGTGAGTGAAGGAGAAGAATGATTAAGTTGTATAACAAAAGTGGCATGCTGGCAGGGATTTGGCTCACTTGCTTTTTTTTATAATACAATTGTGTTAACTAAACTTTGAAAATATTCCCAGTTTGAGAAATAAAAACCATCAAAGTGAATATATGCAGTTGTTCTACTCAGAGATAGAGTCCTGCATAGCTGCATTTGGTCCAACAAGTTTGTTTGGGATATTTCCCCTAATATTCTTTTGACAAATTACTCATTGCCTGAGAAGATTCTCTAGCAATAGGATTGATCCTGTAATGCACAGAACGTGAACAGAGGGAAGTAAAGAAATTGAGAATGGAGTAAAACACTGTAACTTGGTGTGCATTACCATGCAAACAGAACTATTTAAGCGAAACTTAATTACCAAGAGGAAAGAAAGTGACATATATCAGGACCTGTATCTCCTGAAGTGGTAATGGAAGGGGTAAGATGAAGGCAGATCTTTCTTTGGAAGGTGTATTGTCCACTGGGCTCTACGTTGCTTTTTCCATTTGACAACATCTTT